AGACGATACAGGACATGACCCGCAGCCGGCACCAGTGACGCGGCTGTTGTCGATTGTAGTCGGACTACTTCCACTATCCCAGTTTCACCCCGGTTGCACACAAACGCAGCCTGATGCAAGTGCTATCCTATAGAGCCAGACGGATCTGCAGCCCCGAAATGTTGAAACCTGAAAACGAATTTCTGCAGAGTATGTTAATGTCAAGTGAGTATGCCAACAAGTTCATTCAGGTCGACGGAACACCCTTCCAGAGGAAAGTACAGGTGCGAACGACAGAAAAAAGGATATTTATTTGTTCTAGCCGTTCAAAGAGGACCATGCACTAAATGATATCGAACAAGAGCTCCGGCTCATTTTAACGCGAACCTACAAGATCGTTCACTTGCTGTTCATGCATATCGCGTAAAAAGCGTGTTCTTCACAACAGCCAGAGCAGCTCCTTGGGCAGTTTGGCCTCTCACACTGTTCATCAGTTCCCCTGTAGTTGCGGTGACATTTTCATAAGCAGAGGGTAGCTGAACATTTGCAAAAGTGGTTGGGACAAGTGATGACGCAACAGAACGGAGTGGATCCGAGGATGAAGAGGAGCCTGGCACAATCTATGACCAAGCACCTCGTCATCATGTGAATCCAGAAATCGCATTCACGGTGTAATTGCGAGACAAAATCCCAGTAATATTGGCACTCAATGAGACGTTGCTAATCAGGATCCATTAAACTGTGTTATGTGCACGGAAGCTCTTGAGACAATCTATTAGATTGGTATTATATATAGTGTTGCTACTTGTTCCAGACATATAACCGTCTATGCGTTCTGTTTGTGTTGCCTGTGACTGATGAGAACAATCAAAATGGTGACAAATTGCAACCTGTATTCTCTGTTTTGACGAAAAGGTTGAAAAGGACACTGGTTTACTTTGCTAAATAGTGAGAATAACCGTTTACCTCCAGTTGGAAGGCAAACATAAAAATCTCGGAATTCCAATGAATGTGATGGTAATATTTTCAACCCACCGTAAGATTCATGGCATTACTAGGGTGCAATCGATCCTGTTGCTTATTCTAATTTGCCATGATGCGTCATGCCTATGAAAAATTCGATGAGGGAGAGTCAAAGTTGGGAACACATGTTGAATGCATCGCTGCCAAGCAACTGCCGGCGGTTTCACGCAAACAAGGATACGACCCGAGCACCCAAACGAGTGCAGAAACGGGAACTTAAACCCAGCGTGTAAAAGTTGAAAGGTGGCAATTTGAAGCACTGCAACAAGGATCCTTTAGACACATAAGAGCACTAAACCACCTGGTCATAAATTATTCGGTCAGGTGAAGACGTCGGCATTGTAGTCACAAACATGGTAGTTTTGAATAAGGTGAACGAAAGAATAGTAAACGAGATGAAGTTAATAATAATAATAATGAATATATTTCTCTTGATGCGAGAAACTGTCTGTAGCGGCACAGATCTATTTGTACATAAATATCCATGCTTTTGTATGAGTGACATGCATAGGTGGAATATTGGAGTATGCGTTTTATCTAGTAATGTTCTGGCGGATGGTCGAGGTCAAAGCCTAGTGTTGAAAACATTGGTGTTTACATGTTTTTGGGCCCCTCTTGGAATAGCTCATTGAGGAATTTTTCCCATGTGTATACAGAGATTATGGTAATTAGATCAAGGCAACTGGAGAGTCTGCTTTTAAATGTTGCCACAATGTCACATGAGCTGAGTGTCATCCGTAGTTTAGTTAACAGATAGTTATATCTGACCAGGAAAAAATTAGAGCGGACGTCCGTTCTAGCCTACGGTATATTCAGTGTAAAATCTTTGTTGCGAAGCGCTCGAGTTGGGCAATATCGTAATTTGAGAGTAAGCAGGTCGGAATAGATCCTTTTGTGTAGGACGTTGAAAAGCAGCAAGAAGTTGTGTTTCAATCGTCGAATCCAGAGGTTCGAGATGAAGTTCATTGAAACGATCTGGATAACTCATTGCAGAGGGTGTGCCAATCAGATGTATAGTAAATGACCTTTGCAGGTGCTCCACAGCAATTCTGTCTGTTATATTGCCGTATATTAAGCTGCAGTATTCGAGGATGGGGCGAGTGAGTAGCTTGAAAAGCTCAACTCTAGCACGAGTTGTGTGGATTTTGTCTGATATATTGAACATGGACTGTCTGGCACGTGCTATTTGGTATTGGTCCTGTTCTTGAAAATGAAATGCAGCAAAGACAGCACAAAGCGGTGTGAGAGACAACTCGGGAACTTTACTAAAAAAATGGAGGAACACGGCGATAGTAATGAAGCCGCCTATGAGCAACCACGTCATATAAAGGCAGCTATTTCGTTTAGTAAGCTTCAGTTTTTGAATGGGATAAGCATAAACGACCATATACTGCATTATTCCATTTACTCTGCATTGGAAGCTCCTTTGGATGAATGACTGCCAAAGTAAGACGACGCAGTATTCTCTTGACCAAATCCAGCTGCCACACAAAGGAAGCTGAGCAGACAAACACTCTGCGTGCCACGTTCAGTAGGCATGCTAAACTTCCTAAACGCACAGTATCGCTTGAGAAGAGGGCTGATAGCAACATCTCACTATGGAAAATATCCACCCGAAGTGGTTGACGAGAAAGAGCTAACAAAGCACAGACCCTGGTTCGCACTGTTGGCACCAGTTACTTTCTCGAGCGACCATTAGCGAAACCTGTTAAGCTGTTTAAATGAGAAGATCCGATGACACAGTAAATGAACGCGGTTTATCTGCTCAGAAAAATGTCCGGTAACAAAGTATTCGCATGATTTTCTAGACAACAGTAACATCCAATCTGGATTTTCACGGCGGAATAGATTAGGTATGATACGATGACAGAGCTTCGAGACAGAATTGGCTCTGAAGTCCCCCAACGCACCTGCTCCTTCTAAGGTTTACTGTCTATCCCGTTAAAGAATGTTTTGAGTGAGTAAACGAAATCGAATACTTTCGGGGACTCGTCAGTTAAACTCAATTGGGCGGTATTTTCGTTCATTAAGATTCGTCAGTAGTCCACATCTCATTGACCCGGTTGCCAAGATCACTAGGCCCTAAGGAATGCGTGGCAGCCATCGTAGCAAAGTAGCCAGTTGTGATACAGCGCAATTAACTCTCCAGTGTTATGCAGGCTCCTTGCATCTAGGCGCTAAGAGCCTATCAACCCCCAGTGATCAAAGGGCAGTCGATAAATGAGGCAAGTCTAAACTGAGCATAAGGAGATAAAAACCGTAACAATGAAAAACATGACTCAATGCGTTCATGTAAATGATGTGCATATTGGGATCAACGCGTAGTACATCTCGGATATTACTCTAGCAAATAGAACCAACATGCATCGCAAAGATGATTAGTAGCAAGTGAAGTAGCTCACCAGCCCATTTGATTAAGTCGTAATAACTACGCTCACATCACCATGGTGGTCTAGAACCGATCGTCAAAACGCTCAAGACTCGCAAAAGCAGCGGTGTAAACATGCGGGAAAATGAAAAGATAAAGGTGAAGACGTCCAGATTTTGATACACAAATATCTGCGATAGTTAAATAACGGTCCGGAATTAGCAAAAAATTTCCGTCATTCAAAGTATTCTGTTATAAGAAGGCAGATAAAAGGGTGAGCCGAGGTAGTTAACATGAGCCATCTTAAATAGGTATGCACTTCGCACCTTCAAAGTGCAAAGTGTTGCTGCAGGACCACCAGCCACTTGATGACCCCTTGACGCTTGCTAACGAGGAACTCGAGGTGGTTGATCATTTCACTTATCTTGGCAGCTGCATCAGCAATGATGGGCGCAGAGAAACTGACGTGAGCTCACGCATTGCAAAGGCCAGAGCTGCCTTGTTGAACCTGCGGCATCTTTGGCGACAGAAGGGAGTTTCCCTCCGTCTGAAAGGCCGTATATACAAAACCACAGTGAGGGTCGTTCTGCTCTATGGTAGTGAAACTTGGTCACTTCGGTCTGAAGATCTCAGGCGCCTCCAAGTCTTTGATCATCGTTCTTTGCGAAGCATTGCTGATGTTGGATGGCACCAGCGTATCCGCAACGATGATGTGCGTAGGCGAGTACTAGGTGGTGATAATCATGCTAGCTCCCTAGAACAACAGATAGCACTGAATAAGTTGCGTTGGCTCGGGCACGTGCTACGCAGGCCTGGTCACCGCTTGCCTAGGAGGGCCTTGTTCAGTCTACCAGGTGTAGGATGGCGCAAGGCTCGAGGTGAACAGAAGTTGAGTTGGCAGCGTGAAATGAAGTCACTGACAACTAAACTGGGTGCCGTTGGTCCGTCTCGCCTTCCGGGTTGGAGTCCGTGACTCACCTTGTGCTTGGCTCGAGACTTTGCAGGACATGGCTCGCAGCCGACACCAGTGGCGCGTCCGCTGCCGTCTTCTAATCGGATTGCCTGTTTAAAGTATGTTTGGTGCTGAGTTATCTGCGGGATAATGGCTGATTATGACGCGGGGCAGTGAAAGCCGCAAGGAAGCTGTCTCGCCGATGCCGCCTTATCTTTGCACGATAGCCAGCTGTTTGTGACGGTATGTTGTCTACACAAGGTGTAGGCGCCTTAACCTTGAATGTTTGCTTAGGGCATTAAGGTTTTCAGGTAAGTCCCCCTTTCTCTCCCTCTTCTTATTCTTTATTTCATAGGTCCTCATGGTTGTATGGCAGCGAACCATCAGTTCAAATGGCTGAGGTACTGCTGTTAATGATGATGATGATGATGATGAGCTTAAATAGGATGACTGCTCTCATAACCAATCATATGAGTGCAAAAAGTAAACTGTGCAAATACAAAAAATCTGCGTGCACGGAAATGTAGCTCGTCCCCTTTCCTAATTAGGTTGGAAGGGGTTTAACAGTTAGGGACTAATTAAGCAGGCTAGTAATGGAAATAAGTATCATAGGAGGTATCTGCCTGCGTGGACTTCGACAACACATGCAACAAAGTAAGATAGCTTATAGCGACTAACCAAGATTCGTAAACGTTCCATAGAAAATCCGGGAGTGTTATACAAATGATCTACCAATCGCCCAGGAGTGACCACAGCAATGTCAACGGCCGATTTTTGTACCCCCGAAGAACTGTCAAAATGCTACATTACTGCGATCTTCACTTACCAGTCGATCAGATCTGCTTGCTCTTTAACGAAACTCTTTGAACCATTCAAAAGTGCAACCTTTAGAAGTGATATTAGGCGATAAACTGATGGCGCACAAACCTTGAGGTCAGTATCTTTAGTTAAATCGAGGAATACGTTGTAGACTTGTGTAGCCAAGTCCCCAACAGGGACGACAACCAAAACACGAATAGTAACATACGTTCGATTCAGTAAAAGCTGACCAAGGAAGTAGAATGAGCATAACTGAGAACGAACTTGAACAATGGGAGCAGCATAGGCCAATGTCTTCCCGCTTCCAGTCGGGGCAGAAATGCACACATCTCTTGGGCGGCAAAGGGGTCTCCGTTTGGAGATGTGATATGACTTAAGAATTATGGGGATCGCACACATTTGCACTGAGACCGTAGATTAAATAAAGCATAACAACGACACACCTGGGAAAAGTTTGTCATATCCCATAGAGATAAGACGAAGGCGAATCAGCTCGTGAAGCTCCTTTATGTCATTTATATCGAATCGGATATCCACAGAATCCGAGAAAAGTGTTGCTTGTGTAATCCAGTAAGGCAAAATCTCCAGTGGCTAGGCAACAAATAAAGGATTTCGCGCAGGAAAAACTTACGGTAGAGTGATTTCTTTGTAGCTTATCACCGATCACAGTGAATCCTCCGATGACGGTATCAGCGACAGTTTCTTGCTTAGTGTCGGAGGTGCTGGTATTATCTGACTCCATTAAAGTGGCCCTGCAAAAACGCCACATGAATAACAGAGATAGTAAGAGCTTATGCACACGGCTATGGTAGCTAACAATGCAAACAATTGTTTAGTGCATTACATAATAGGGCACGCTGAGCTTAGATTTTAGGAGCGCTACCGTAATAAGCCGAAGCAAGTAGGAAAATTGTCGCAGACAGAATTAAGAAGATGTGATCTCGGAAGCTTAGCATCGACCGGGGTCGCTTAACTAGTAGTAGCTGTGCCACAATAGTTGAACTCTTTAAATGACCGACTGGACATCACCACTGTAGTAGGGAAAAATACACGACCAAGGAATATCCATAAAACTGTTAAGAAAAACTGCATGCAAGTCATGTTAAAGAATGCAGAAACATGGCCTTTAGTTTAATCAGTCCAGATGAGTAACTATAAGCCAAGCAGAGAAGTACGGCACATCCAGGTGTCAGTACTCGTGCGGTCATCAAAAAAGGGCCGAGTACCGCGAGAAAGATAAAACAAGCACAAAGAAAAAGCAAAAGAGCAAGAAAAAATAAAAGCGACAGAGCTAACAAAGCAGAGGCGGCGATCTTGCGAATAAATCATATTGGGAAGAAGAATACGCCGTAGATGATTGCTCCACACCTAGACGGAATAGGCGTGGGACGACGTCATCCGGAAATAGGTAGACATTCGTCACATCTAGACTCACTCAGACAGCCATCACACGCCCGGAAAGCACTGTACGGGCGTTTCATCCTTTCTGGAATCGTCAGCAGTGTGCATTCCATTTGACATTGGTAGGGCTCGAACCCGTAACTCGGCTGTTACCAGTCCGTGATCGAGACCACTGAATACGGGAGACGGAAACGACCATCGTAAACAAGTTACTAGATGTGATATAGCGCCACTCACTATCCACTAACTTTTACGTTAATGCCGTGCAAATGACAGGGTAGCCCTCTCAACAAGCGACAAACTTCCCAAATCCAAGCCGACAATTAACTTATGGCATTATAATCAGCTTGGCTGCGTACTGATTAGAGCGGAATAGTAGGGGGAGTGGAATGGTATAGGTAGAAATTCGTCACATCTAGGTTCACTCAGACAACTATCACGCCCGGAAAAGCACTGTATGCGCGTTTCATTCTTTCGGGAATCGTCAGCAGTGCGCATTGCATCTGACCCTGGTAGGGCTCGGACCCGCAACGCGACTGTTGTCAGTCCGTGGTTAAGACCATGGGGCAACGCTACAGCACAACTATTAACTTATTCACGATGGCCATTCCTATCCCCCTTCTACTCCTCTGTACTTCGGAAATGTGCAACAGTCTGGACATAAGCGTATTGATTTTGCTAACGAGCAGCCGATTAGCACTCATCCGTGATATAGTAGTAAATGTTGGTAGATCAGGTTGTTCATTTGGTGGCCTGAGTGTTCGCCAAGCTAGACAGTTTGGGCGCAAACGTTTAGTCATAAGTAGAGGTGACATCCTCAGTGCGCGTTTATGTAGCGGAGCGTCGCGGCACAAAGTGTCAGTTTAAGTCCGCAGAGTGCGTACGTACATGGCGACAGATCGAGGTGCATTTGCTAATCTCCGCCACTTATGGAGCCTACGCGGCATCGCCCTGAAGTCCTGAGTTTACAATGCAGCCGTCCGTTCAACCCTCGTATACAGTTGTGAAACCTGGCCCATCAGGTCGACAGCCGCTGACATCGCAGTTTACCTCATGTCTGGTTTGAGCACCACTTGTGCAATGGATATCTTCGGCGCCGTGTATTTGGGGCAAGAAGAGCGAGTAAAACGCTCAGCACTGTTATTGCACGCACCAGGCACCGATAGCTGGGCCACATGTTGCAAATGTCAGTACACTGACTCCCACTTCGTGCGTCGTTTACGCGCCCGGGTGCCGATGGAAGAGGATAGAGCAAGCGATAATTTGGTCAAGAGGAATGAAAACCACCACTTCGAAATTGTCGTTGGTTGGTGCATCTCGATAGCTGGTCGGACACTTGCTGATATGATGAAGAATCGGCCCCAATGGCGTCTGCGTTGTGAGTTTCTTTGTCCATCGCCCTCCCCTTTAGCTTCCTCTTCTAATTACATCCCATAGCAAATGAACAATATGATGTTTAACATCAGAATATTTGCTTTTTGAATTTTTTGCCTGTAGATTTTTAGTATCATATCTTTTTCGTCTTGTTACACATGAGCTGAGATGTTTCTCGCCTTCAGCTAACGTGTATTGATGATGCTGACGATGATGTGCGTGGCGTAACAGAGAAGTAGAGATGAGCGCACGCAACACGGAGTACTCCGATTAAAAAGCAATGCGACCGTCCAACTGAGGGACCGTCAGATGCTGCATATGCGTTGCACTTGCATATACTCCCACAGAATACAGACCGGACTCATGTTACGATGATTTCTACTGACAGAGCACTGATATTCTTAGTAAAATGTGCTGCACTGACACTATTGTAATAAAGGTTCGAAAATGATTAACTCAAATTCGGAGGTCAAAATAGTGACAGTACTTGCAGAACCAACAATGGTGATCACTTACTTCAGATTTGTGCCGGTGGCGGCCTATTTCTTTTGAATAGCAACTCCAGACGATAATGGTATCAACTTGCCACTTAAAGACTTCATCACCTGGCTTGCTGCGCACCTAGATTGACCACAAGGGTAACAATAACTGATGTCGATGCCGTACAAAGGGATGTTGAATGAGCCAGAGTGTCTATACTGCTTCTGATCATGATCTTGAGTGTGCTCAAGTCGTACCGTGTTATGGCTGTACCCAACAGCTTTACCAGAAACGAAGTGATGTAGCTTTCTGTCCCAAGTAGTTTCAGTCATTCTGTTTCGTTCAACCACAAACCTCCAAATATCCGAATTTTAAAACGCTGAGAGCATGAATTCGGGGTCCTGCACAAATCTGCTGCCATGGCCTGCGGCTTCGTTAAAAATGCCACCAACCACTGGATCTTTGCCGAACGCCAGAGGGTCTTGAGGACCGTCAAAAGATAACACTGGTGCTGAATGCAGTACGTGGCGCAAGATTATCAAGGCTGAACTCAGATAACTGCTAGAGGAGAAAAACCGGGCCTGGTGGACGTCGCGTGCCCTCGAGACGAAAAAAACGGCAGTCTAAAAAATGCTTGAAAACATTTTCTTATAAATCAACCTACTGAAAGCAAAATGCAGAGTATAAGAGAAGTTTAACGTAAAAGCAGTGATAAGCGAAGTTAAAGACGTCAGCGTCGACTTGTGCGTTGGACTGAGAAATTAGAGCAGCACTTCAATTGAATATCAACATCATTGGTTCCAATTCAGTCGGGATGGACACGTAGACACTTCGGCAGGTGATTGATCTCTAGCCGAGGCTGGATTCATAGTAGTCGTGTAAGCGAATAGGAAGGCCTGGATGATTGTGTCCATTGTGCCCTTCCAACCCCCGCGCAATTTCAAGAGGGCCCTCTTGAGAGTGTCAATGAAACTTCCGCACCATGTAAGCGTCACTGCTACCGAAGTATGATACCCCAAAAGAAAAAGACATGAGAACGGAGAAGTAGTATAATTAACGAAACGGAACACAAGCAAGCTGACTGTACGCAAGACAACAAGTTCTGGACGGAGACTATGGTGGAGGACAGGTCTAATCCAAAGCAGACTCGGACAAATGCTGTACAATGTTAAAGTTAGCGGCTGAAAATGGAACACGTCCGCCAGTCAAGTGCGGCCAACTACTAGCACGACAGGTAAGAGCAACTGACCGCAACCGCTGGAAATCGGCTTGGATAATTTCGATATTCAATAAGAAAATCAAAACACTCCGGGTGCACCTAGCACACAAGTTCCAAAGGAGCCATCATTAATAGACGTTGGCTGAGGGTGAGAAACACACCACCGCTAATGTGCCGCAATACCAAAAGGATAAGATACTAAAAAGTATAGACTACAGGAAAAGCTCAAAAAGCAAGCAGTGATAAATATCATAGTATGCGTTTGGGATGAAGTCGTAATTTGAGGGGAATCTAAAGTGGAGGACGATGGACAAAGAAACTCGCAACGCACACGCCAATGAGGCCGACTCTTCGACATATCAGCAAGTTTATCCAACCAAACGTATTCACTGTCTTTTGGGCCCCAGCCAGGCAGTCGAGATGCACAAACCGACGCCGGCTTTGAAGTGTTGGTTTCCATTCCTTTTAACTAAATCGTCGCTTTCTCTCTCATCTTCCATCGACACACGGGTGCGCAAACAACGTACGAAGTGGGGGCCGGTGTGCTGGCATTCGTACTATGCGGTCAAGCCATCCAAAGATGGTGCGTGAAATAACGGTACTGTGTGATTCACTCGCATTTCCTGTCTCAAATACACGAAATCGAAGAAATACATTGCTCACGTGATGCTCCAACCAGACATAAGCTAAGCTACGAAGGCAACGACAGTCGAACGTAGCTAGCCTTTTTAGTCTGTCGACCTGATAGACCAGGTTTCATAACCGCAGCGGAGGGCTGCATAATAAACTCTGCCCCTCAGGGCAAAAGTGATGGCGCGTAGACGCCACAAGTGGCGGAGACTAACAAAAACAACCTCGAGCTTTTGATATACGGTTCTTGACTTCATTCGCGATCCCACAGGCGCTAATATACCTGCCCAGGTACTTAAATTTCTATACTAATTCTAGCTGAGCACCATTTATGGTCAACGCAGGGTGGGTCCATGCCAATTTTGGAGGACTATGCATTTCGAGGGAGCGAAGTGAAGCCAAAAGCGACTGACAGCCACTGCTAATTTGTCCATTGTGACTTGACATATGCGGGAGCTGTCACAGATTAGGGCAATGTCATCATCATACTTCAAATCAAGAAGCCGGCCCGTAGCCTTAAGGTAGCAAGCTTGTCTAGTAATATGACAGCCCGGGTTGGAGCCTGCGTAGGGGCAGGGCGACCCTCCAGTATAATTAGCCCACGCGCAACCGGTGGTGGTTTCGCGGCAGCGAAGGGA